ACATTCCCACCAGTGGAATGGATAGAAATGGGTAGATTCGAGGTGTCTTTTAGAGATCTCTTTCACATGCCTTGGTGGTTAGACAGAGAGACAAAGGACAAAAGAGATTCAAGGGTGACCCTCAAAGCCTGAGCAACTGGACAGATGATGAAACTCTTGACTGGGAGGAAAAAGAAGGGGAGGAGGCCTGGGGAACCAGCTCAGGGGGAAAATCAATATGGACCTGCCGAGTCCCAGAGGAGACCCCAAACAGTTATGCAAATCTGGAGCTCAGAAGAGATTAGTGTCTGGATTCGTTCAATTGATTAGATGAAGGGGGGAAGGGTTCGAGGACAAATGTGGCCGAGATGGAGTGGCACAGGCATCCATGAGGTCAAAGACCATATGGCCCTCTTGTAGATGGTTGAGTCACCCAGGGTGCTGACAAGCATTGGGGTGCAAAGGAAGAAGCACCAAGGGAAGAAGTCTTCAGTGAACGCAGGTACATGTTCAGGAAGTGAGATTAGCCTCAAAGGAGCTTTCAAATGTTCTCACAGTGAAGAGCCCAGGCCAACTCCCAGAGCTGGAATCTGGCTCCTTCCTCAAGCTTTCTGAGCCCTGTGCCTATCAGGTCTCACGCCTTGTCTTCAGACCTCAACCCCAAGGATGTCCAGAGCTTGGCTGGTGATTCCTACTGCCTACCTGGGGACTAGGTGCCCCTGCCCGTCATATACCTGCGCCCCCGCCCCCAACTCTGGCGGCAAGATCACTCAGGGGTCTATTGACATGGGGGCCAACAGATAGCCAGCCCAGGCCCCCGGGGAATGTCCCTCAGGCTGGGTTTTTCTCCCGTATCGCATTCTCAGTTGGACTGGTCACAGCCAGCTCGATGGCTATCGAGAGTGATAAGAATTCTTGTTCCTGCCTGGGTTGGTTGGTCAGCTTTGACACTTGAGACAATGAACATGATTTTGTAAGTGACCTTTGGGCCTTGCTGTACATGTGGTCAAACCATGGCTAATAGAAAGCACATGATGAAGGGGAGTCCATGGCCTCTGTCCTGTCTCCAGGACGCAGGCCCTGGGGATCTGGTCAGTGGTGAAGCAATTGCTACAAACAAGTTACAGGAGAACGTGTAAACAAAGCCCCTGTTCTCCTTCAGGGAGACCATGACTTATTGCTCCACGATGTCATCTTTGCCCCACGATGTGCAGAACATGAGTACATTCTAACGACTGCTGTAGTAGAACCTGCACGGGAGATTCTGACTCATAGGAAGAAAGTTTCCAGTGGATTCTGATCAAAATCATGTCAGATTCTGATCTCTCTCTCCATCTCCCCGCCCCTAATTCACAATCAGAATCAAGGACAATAGAAGCTAAAAGGCAAAGTGTTACCCGTACGCCATTCAACAATGATAAAGAGTAAACAATTATTAGAAAACTTCAGCCTTGAGCTACAAAGCTTCTGAGTATTACCTGGAGGGAATGGGTGGAGCAAGGAGGGAAGAATGTCCCCCCCCACTCCCCACTTTCTCAAGTACAAAGTGTATGGCCTCTGTTCCTGAACTGGGAGGAAAATGAGCAGAGCCAGGGAGGAGTCGGCCTGCTGGGAGCACCTTCCTCCCCTTTATCCATAATCGGCCCTGTGTTATGTGCATCCCAGATGCCTCACATTTCCCAGCACAGATGTATCAGCATGGACGCATGGAGAACTCCAGCAGGCCAAAGAGCCCTGTCCCAGGCAAAAAGCAGTGGCTCCTGGGCCATGTGCCTTCGGCCACATCTGAAGAATCAGAGAGAACAGGGGAAGGCAGAGGCGATTCAGCACAAGGGGACTGAGGCCTGGAGCCCCTCCTCCCTGACAGCCTGGGCCTCACTGGTTTGCCCTCCTCTTTACCACCCTGCTTTTGGTGTAACCAGGGAGATGCCAGAGAATCCAAGCATCCCCCCACCTGTGTGTGTACGCATGTGCAGTTTAGTCAGTATAATTTAATTATCAGGTCATTTTATCCCATAATGGGTTTTTACAGGATTTAAGAAATGTACTTAATATCGTAGGAAAACAAGGGATAAGGAAGTGAAAACAAAGCCACATAAACTGAGGCCAGGGACTGATGCACAAAGTGCAGCCCAAGAGAGCTGATGTGTGTTTAGAATCGGACCTTGAATCTCTGAGCCCTTGGTGGCCAAACCTGAACCCATTTTCACTCCATAGTCAGAAGCTAGCGTCCGTCACAAATGTCCAGCTTCCCTGTGTTGTCTTCCCCCCAGGACCTGCCAGACGGATTTAGTGTGACCGTCAGCCGGCTGGCCTTACCTCCGCCATCGATTTCTGGGAACCTCAGGAGTGGAGTTGGGTCGGGGACGTCCTGTGTGGTCATGACCAAGCCCTTTCCTCAGGTACTGTCTGTAAGGCGTTCTCCTGCCCTGACCCCCACCAGGTGGGATCCGCAGGGAGGGCTTCAAAGCTGCTCACCTCCACCTCCAGGGCACCACCGTGCCCCTCCTCCTGCTGGTCTCCGCTGCCTCTAAATACGCAGAAGTGACTCTGGTCTATGAATTCCCCAAAACAGTGGAGCTAAGCCACGTCCTACATGGAAGGAGGGAGAAGAGGCCTTTCCCCCATGTCACATGTCACCCGGCACCGAGTAGGGCTCCCTGAGCCCAGGGACTCTCAGGAGAGTTCTGTGACAACAGCCGTCAGCCCTTGCCCGAGGCTCCTCTCCTCCTGGGACTCAGATGAACCCAACCAGCCTCAGAGATGGACTTGTTTCTGACTCTCCCTTCCCGGGGCCCTCACCCTCTAGGCGGCACAATTACAGGGTATTGTCCCCCAATGAAAATGTTGAAAACAAACATGACTTTGGGAGTGTTATGCAGCGGCAGACATGATCAGAATCATCTTCACATGCAAAAGATCGCTAACAGTGCCCTGATAAGAAAGGCTATGCCTGTGTGGACCCCTATTCTTCTTGTACAACGAGTTTAGGCAAAATCTTCTGCTCTTGACTTAACCAGGTGGCTCTTAGAAGGAAGCAGCTCAGCCCTGAGAAATGGGAGAACGGACCGCACCCTGAGAGGAGGGGCCTCTGGAGCTTGCTGCCTCTTCCTGCTCGCAGCACAGGATGCGGGCCCTGGGCGCAGGCCACTTCTAGGGTTCCTGGCATGAGCCAGGTGAAAGGTGCACCGGAAGGAGATGAGAGGCTGTCGCTCCGCTGCAGCGCGGGTGGTGGAAGGAATGGCGAGGTAAGGAGGAATGCACCTTTTCCCCCCGCCCCCCGAGAATGTGCACTTGGAGGGAATTCCCGACTTGCCTAAAATCGGAATGGTGGTGTGTTAGTGCTGACACTGATGTGGGTGTAAAACCAGCTGGGAGCTGTCACAGGCTGACGTGGGAGCTCCAAGACCCAGCCTTCCCTGACCTACCACTAAATGCGGCACGAACCCCTGAAGTGGACTGGGGCAGGGGCTTAAAGTGAGATTGGCATTTGCTACTGGGTGTGTTGGGGAGGGGGGATGTTAAGGGATGTGGAAAGGGAGAGTGGGATCATGACCCCACTAAGGTAAGGGGCTGTCTCTGACTATAGGCACCGACTCCTCCCCAGTAGCCGGATAACCACAGCCCAATTGGAAAATCCCCTTAGAAGGGAGAAGTGTGGGTGCGGGACAGGGTCTGGGTTGTGAGAGTATAAGGTTCCCTGAGGCAGTGCGAGGGAATGTTTGTGAGTCCGAGTGTGTGTACATGCACGTGCTGAGCGTACGGCCGGAGTTGGCAGCAGGTGGACATGGCAGCTGGAGGAGCCCAGGAGTCGCCCAAGTAGGGCTGGTCAGCAGGCGACTGGGCTCCTAAGAGGGGAGCCCAGGGCACAAGACAGATCTGGGAGTCATCAGCACGCACACCGTGGTAAAGACACAAACGGAACGGAGTGAACAGAGCGGTGGAGAACCGGGGCTAGGACAGAGTCTGGATGAGGAACAAAGCTTCTGCCCGGCCAAGAAGGAAAGAGCCAGGGAGCAACACCAGGATGAGTGAACAGGTGAGGAGGCCCAGCTCTCTGCAAGGTTCAGCTTAACGATTTACCCAAAGGGAACAAGGAGCAGGACTGACTCCCGGAGAAAAGGGAGCTGCTTCAACCCCCTTCCCTGGCCACAGCCGTCTCATCAGAAGGAACGTCACTTTGGCTACATGTGCTTCCCAGTCTCAGCCCACCTCTCGCTCTCACCCGTCACTGTAAAGACGGAAATTCACATCTAGTGCTTTGGGAATCACTCATCCTTGCTCAGAGCCCAGTGCCAGTTATCAACATCCCCAAACCTTTCGCCTTTAGAATTCATAGAGAAATGTTAACAGGATGTGTGGTCTACAAAGTGCTTTGAGATCCTGGCCCGAGTTACTGCCCCAACATGAGGGGGGTTCTCCATGGTGGTAGGAACACCTCAGGCTCTGGGCAGACAGGTCGGGCTGGATCCCACCTCTGCCACTTTCAGCTGTGACCCAAGCAAGTTCCTTCAGTCTCCCAAGCCTCGCTTTTCTTTTCTGGGAAATGGGGAGAATATTAGTACCCATTTCCTGGGGCTGTTGTGAGGATTAAATGAGATCAAGTATATAAAGTGCTTAGCAGAGAGCCTGCCCAACAGCAAATGCTTGATAAATACCGGCTATTTTTGCTATTATTAGCACTGACTTAGTAACGTGAGTAATACGTAACTGTCGTTCCTCCTTTGTGCTGAGCTCATGGTGGCCTGTTCTCTCACCAGAGTCTCAAAATTCTCTGAGGATACGCCCCAACTAGAGACTGCCATGCAGGAGACCGGCGTGTGCCGATGGGGGATGTGTACACACAGAGAGTGTGAAGGCACAGCGAGGTCTGGAATCCCTGCTCAGGACCAGTGATCGGCTTCTAATCCCCTAAGCTTCCAGTTTGGCTCAAACACTGAGAAAGCCCTTAAATGACAGCAAATGTAAGGACAGCCTGAGGACTGAGTGGAGATGTTTTACAGGAGAAAAAAAATCACAAATTTGGATCCTTGGCATTTGTAATTCGCTGCCAAATTACCTGGATTATATCAAGATAACTTCCTTGGGTATACACCAAGCTTAAAAACTGGGAATGTTTCTTTCTACCAAACATCTGATAATCTTGGGAGATTTAAATACACATTTCTCTTTTGTTGTGGGGGGAGTTGTCTTCTATGATGCTTTCCCTCCTACATGGGTTCTCCGGTGGGCACTGAAGTGGGAGCTATTGTTGAAGTCTTTGCCACACTCCAAGCACTTGTAGGGTTTTTCCCCAGTGTGGATTCTCTGGTGAATAATAAGACTGGAGCTCTGGTTAAAGCATTTCCCACACTCTCTGCACTTATAAGGCTTCTCTCCCGTGTGAATCCTCTGGTGAGTAATGAGATTAGAACGGTCACGGAAGAATTTTCCACACTCGAGGCATTTGTAGGGCTTCTCTCCTGTGTGCACTCTCTGATGTGTGATCAGCTTGGAGCGTTCACTGAAGCACTTCCCACAGTCCATGCACTTATATGGCTTCTCCCCAGTGTGGGTTCTCTGGTGGTTAGCCAAGGTGGAGCTCTTACTGAAGCTTTTCCCACATTCAGCACATTCATATGGTTTCTCTCCTGTATGGATTCTTTGGTGACTAATGAGGGCAGAGCTCTTGGAGAAGGTTCTTCCACACTCAGAACACCGATAAAGTTTCTCCCCTGAGTTGGTGCTGTACGGTCCAGGAGAATCTAAGTTCCTACTGGCACTTTGAGGTTGTTCAGGAATTGTCTCCTCTGTCAAGTTCCACCAGTGAGCACTAAAGGAGGGGCTTTGGCCAAAGTTTTCCCCAGGCTCACTACAGTCAGGATTTCCTCCCAAGTGGATTCTCTGATGTTTTAGAAGGTTGGAGCTCTGGTTGAAGCTTTTCCAACATGCCCCACATTTATAGGGCTTTACCCCTGTGTGAATTCTCTGGTGGGTGACGAGATTGGAGTGATCACTAAAGCTTTTCCCACATTTGAAGCATTTGTAGGGCTTTTCTCCAGTGTGAATTCTCTGGTGGGTATTGAGATTGGAGCGGTCACTAAAGCTTTTCCCACATTTGAGGCATTTGTAGGGCTTCTCACCTGTGTGTGTCTGCTGGTGAGCGATGAAGTGGGAGGTCCGACTGAAACTTTTCACATACGTGTCACACTTGTAGGGTTTCTCTGCAAGGTACAGGCCTTGATGGTCAATAAGTTTTTCTAAGTCTTCTTCAGAAGAACATTCTTCCCACCGTTCCTGTGGTGGATTTCCTGCCTGCTCTTCATCTTCATTTTCATGTTCACTGCCTTCCTCCCAATCGTGAGGGTGACAAACAACTTCTGGAGGACATTTTGATAACACTCCAGGCAAATCCTCAAAAATATCCTGCTCTGAACTCTGGCCTTCATCCTCATGACTCATCTCAAAACCTGAAAAAATGGGAAGAAATGTGGTTTTTCATTCATTAGTTGGTGTCTATTTACATATCTATATCCTGTGTCTTATGAATTTGGCTAACATGAAATTGATCAAGTTTTGGTGCATACATGCATTTGTGACATATCTATATCCTGTGTCTTATGAATTTGGCTAACATGAAATTGATCAAGTGTTGGTGCATACATGCATTTGTGACCTGCAAAGCTGAGGGAAGGAGTCTGAGACCTGGTGACCCCACCAAGGGAGCCATGCGCCCCAACCAAACAACCAGCCAGTCTCCCTGGCCAATTCCTTTATTCCACTATTTGATAATGAACACCTTCTTCTAGTAAAATCAGTATGTCCTATATCATATGAGATTGAATGAACTCTATAAGTGCTCAACAAAATCGCAATAAAATCTAGACCTGCCTGCTTTCTCATTTAGGGGATTACTCTAAACTAGACATAATCTGAGCAAAGCACAAATCCTTCTACTCAATTCCATTGTTTTAATCCAGAAACAAGATAAGGAGCCTGGCTCCCTCACTCTATCTGCATGCTGGCAGATTTTGTGGGCATCCAACTATTCCATGCTTACCAGTGTGTGGGGTTTTAGGACATGGGGTTGGAGGTTTGATGGCATTTTCATCTGCCATCTCATCCCAGGCCTCCTGGTCGTCAGCCTCTGTACTGCTCCACCCAGACGTAGGAAGACCTGCTACCTCTCTGATGTTCCCCATGCCTCTGACTGCAGTCCGAGCCCTCACCAGTGAGTCCAGCTCCTCATAAAAGGGGCATGTCCCTGGTGGGTGGCTGCTCTTGGCTTTCCGGTAGCTTCGAAGGAGGTTCTTAAATCTGTAGCGACACTGCTCCAGTGTCCGCAGGAAGCCCTGTGCACATAGCCGCTCTGCGATGGCCCGGTACACCTGACTGTTCTGGTGACAGGTGCGAAGCTTTTCAGAGAATGGGGACTCACTGAGAATGGTCAGGAAGGCCTTGGTCTCCTCGTAGCCCCAGTGCACACCTGCTGTCAGGAGTGAAGAGGTCAGAATTGTGAGATTTAATGAGACTTGCCTAGGTCATCAGGGATCAGGGTCACCTGCCCCTCAGAAATTGTCCAGGTACCTGGGCACCAACCATACCCTTGCCTCTCAGGGCTGTGCCAGAGCTTCCCACCCCAACCCCTTCTAAGAGATTTATTAACACCTACGAGCCTTGGCTATAGGGAAGGACTTAGGTGGCCATATTATACCAGGTGACCCCACCCCCTGGCTTCAGCTGATTGGTTCAGGGAAAGGCCTGCAATTGGGATATAAGAGACTCTCTCTGTATCAATTCAATACATGTCCTCTGCTTACTTTCATGAATTTTCCTTTTAACAAATATGGAAACTGAGAATCCTTAAAGACATGAATGGAGGTCAAATAATCTTGCATTAGAGGCCAACTGAGGTTGCTCTTTCCTCTTTAGTGGAAGAAGAAAAAGGAAGTGGTCTGTTCTCAGTTCCTCTGCAGGTACATGAGGCAGCCAGGGAGGAACAACACATAAAAGGAGGCTGGAGTCCTGGGCTCGAACCCTGACTCTGCCCCTGCCTCACTTAGATCCTGAGATAAGACACTTCATCTCTTAGGCTTCAGCGCTCCCACTTTTTTAAAAATATGTTTTTACTGACTTTAGAGAGAGAGGAAGAGAGAGGGCTAGAGAGAGAGAAACACTGAGAGAAACCACATCGTTCGGCTGCCTCCTGCACGCCCCCTACTAGGGATCAGGCCCGCAACCTGGGCATGTGTCCTGACTGGGAATGGAACTGGTGACCTCTTGGTTCATGGGTCAATGCTCAACCACTGAGCCACATCGGCTGGACGTGTTCCCACTTTTACAGTGACTAGGCTATTTCCCAAACACTGATTACTCAACTATATACTGTCTTGATTTCTGCTCTATCTGTTAAATATTTCACTCAATATCTTTATCTAATTTTACTGTCTGTGAAACCATAGTTGATGTGTTCATACACATTAAAATTATAAGTTTACTCGTGCAACTTGTGATCATCCCCATACACACTTTGGGAAATACTGAATTTGCTCTTTAAAGTCCCTCAGGACTGTCTCTATAGCTAAGAAAACTTGCACAATGAGATCTGCTCACAGGAGAGGAGAGTAGGAGTCTGAGGATGACCGAGGGAACTTAGTGCCTCATTCCAGTAGCATCAATCCAGACTCTGTGCCCTGAGCTTGGGGAGCAGAGGTTTGGCTAGTAGGAGGGTTGGATACTGGATCCAATTAAATGCCTGTGTTCTTACCAATACGACTCTGGAATAGAGCCGGACCCCTTGCAATCCTGGGCCCCTGGACGGACTCGCCAGCGGCCAGGTCATCACCATTACAGTCTTCTGCCGTTTCCTCTGGCTCCCAGTTCCCATCCTCTTGTTCCTCCATCTCTGCATCACTGTCCCCCAGCCTGGGGAGGGCCACAGCCACTCCTGGGCCGTCTGTGGCTCTGATGGCTGTCCGAGCCCTCACCAGGGCCTCCAGCTCCTCGTAGAAGGGACAGGTCCCCGGGGGGTGGCTGCTCTTGGCTTTCCGGTAGTTCCGTAGGAGGTTTTTGACCCTGTAGCGACACTGCTCCAGTGTCCGCAGAAAGCCTCGTGCCCTCAGCCGCTCTGCAATGGCCCGGTACACCTGTCGGTTCTGGTGACAAGTCCGGAGCTTTTCAGAGAAAGGAGACTCGCTCAGAATTGCCAGGAAGGTCTTGGTCTCCTCATAGCCCCAGTGCACGCCCGACACCTTCATGTCCTCCGCGTCCCATTGGTACTGTTCCTCCCAGGCCTGAGAGTCCCTCCAGACCAGGGCTGGGGCTGGTTTTATTTGCTCATTATCCAGGCTGTAATCTGCAGTGCGCCTTTTTCTGGAATTTATACGACTCGGACCCCAGAATTCTGGTCCTTGCTCTTGCTGGGTGATGACATCTGGTTTTGAAACTAGAACTCCTACACAAAAAGAAGAGAAATTATTTACTGAGCAGAGTGCTTGTCCAACATATTTCCCTCCGAGAGGCTAACGAGACCTTCCCAGGCTAAGCCCAACACACGTCTGGGGGTTGGAGAGGGAAGTAGAGGTAACAGGATCCCTTCACCCAGAATGGTCATTGACCTGTTAGCTTTGTTCATTCGCTCTCTTTGTTGTAATGAAACAGATCATACAAAAAGTAACTGTCATTGGTCCTCAAATGGGCATGTGACTTAAACTGGCCCAATCAGAATGAACCCGATGGTCGGAGGACAGGTCTCTCATTCTGTCTCCCTCCGTGTGTGTGTGTGTGTCTGTCTTACTAGGAAATATGTGGCCTCAATTGTCATTGGCATCCATCTCTTGACTCTGACACACAATAGCTTTCATGTGAAGCTGAGACTGAGGGTGCAGAGCAGAGAGGTGATGCTGCTGAGCCCTCTGTACTGTGGCTGGCGCATGCCCTCCTCTGGACTTCCAATTATGTGAGAAAATAAATGTCCTTACTTTCTATAACACTTAGCTAAAGGACTGCTGTTCCAACCACTCCCAACCCTAACAAATAGAAAGCCTTTAATTAAATAAGTATTTGAACAAAACTAGAAATAGGGTTTAAAACTAAAAGAGGCCTAAGGATTATCTAGCTCAGCATTTCCCAGTTAGTCCCTCTGGGCACTATGTTCACCAGACACCACGTGTAAAGGGGGTCACACTGTCAAGCGAGCAGCCAACAAGCTTCTGGTGCCTCACTTTACTGACAGGAGTGAGTCAGACCTACCACTGTCCCTTCTGCTCTTCCCTCACGTGTCTAATCCCAACGGGAAGCGGTTCGTTACTATTTGGCTTCCCACGCAGATGTGGCTACAGAGAAAGGAGTCTGCGCCGATCACAGGGGCTTCCAGCCCCGATCACAGGGGACCCTTTAATACAGTTCCTCGTGAGTGCACTCCTTGGGTCAGCCCGCCCCTGTGTGCTGGGTCCTGTTTGATGCTGGAAGCCTGGGTTTCTGTGACCGCAGGCAGCGACCAGCCCTGCACTGTGGTGAACTTACAGGGAAACGAAGGGAAGGAGCCCTGAGAGGTGAGGCTCCTGGAAGCCAACCTGCCAGCCTCCATCCCGGCCAACTCCACTCCTCACGCTCCACCCCTGCCACCACAGTGTTGGCTACGAAAAGCTTGTCTTCTTCCTATGTCTGCAATCCACTGACTTCACAGAGGCACGAGACTTAGGGAGTGACGGAACGCTCTGGGAACTGAGGGTTTGGGGGCCCAGCACCTTCTTCCGAGGGCACTAGTTCCTTACCCAGGGACACGCCGTTCCCACGGTTGTCTCTGGGGGGCTCCTTGCGAAACTCCTTCTCGGCACGTCTGCCAGGGCCCCGGGCTTCCTGAGAGGTGGACAAAAGAAGGACCTCAGATGTCACTGACCCTGGAAAACAGCCTAGGAAACCCTGTGAGCCCCAGAAAAGGTCATGGAAGCACGAGGATACGGGGTGAGTCTAGCATCGTAAGGAGCAGCATGACCAAGGAGAAGCCCAGCGACCGGGGGCAAGCGGCAAGAGCTGACACCCAGGCCTTTTGACACCCTTTTGCGGAGGGGAGGCCATAGAGAAAGAAGTGGAGCAAAGGGGCAGCAATGACAGGAAGGGGAGAACCGAGAGCAGCTTACCTGGGACTCAGCTGTCACCGCCCAATCTCCAACGCTCCCCGTCTTTGGGAGAGTAGGGACTCGGGGAGTGAGGACAGCTGAGAAGAAGAAAGAGTCTCTGAAACCCAAGCTCTGGTCTCCACAGAACCACCCGCTTGGGTCCAGCTTTCCAAAGCCGTGCTCGGGGCCAGCTGAGACTCTCCCCAGTCAGTGCAAGTCTCCCTTTCCTTCCTCCGAGAGTCCCAGCTCCTAAGCTGCCTTGAGTGAGGTGCCTTGTGGGAGATACCAGCCCAGAACCCCGAGGGTCACCATGGCCCCCCCCCAGCCTGAAGCTACTATGACTCGGCTCTGGAGGGGACGAGCCGTCACTGGGAACTTCGCCGTCTTCCGCGGCGCTTACGTACTTGCCTTACTCCTCAGTGGGTCCATCAGACACTACTCTACCCCTTGCCTGGAATCCATGCATCCCTCCTCCCCATGCACCCTTCCTCACCACCCCTCACCCACCTCCCTTGACGTTCCTTGAGTTTTGTACTCACCACTCTCCTTCAGGGCCTGGGGCGCCATCTGGGAGTCGAGATGCTTGGGAAGGTCCGGGCCCGGATTCCTCACCCACTGCCTCTGGGGTGGTCTCTCGGGCCCGTGCTGGGCTGCTTGCCGCTGAAAGCTCTGAGATTCCCGTGCTGCCTTCAAGGACCGGGTCTCTTCTCCACACAGTTCCCGTTCCTGCACACAGACGGGCAACGTTCCCAATTGTCAGCCCCATCAGACCAGTCTTAGTAGGGCAGAAAGTGTTCTTTAGGGGGCAGTGGTGATCTAGGGATGACCAGGCCCTTTTTAGACCCGAAGACGGCTCAAGTATGACAACAAGCCCTCAGGCTGCAAACTGCTGAGGCTATGCGTTAAACCCGCAATATTTTCTGGACAAGTTACTTACCCGCGTCTCTGTCCACCATTTGAAAAATGGTGATGGTAACAGTACCTACCTTATTGGGGTGCAGGGTGGACTAGATAAACAACATACACAGAAGCCTTAGAACAGTGTCTGGCACACAGGGAGTGTTCAATAAATGTCAGTCACCATTTCATGTGAGCCTCACGCCTCAGAGGTGTTTTCATTCCTAGGTTCCTGATGAGGCGTCTGAGGGGGTAGAACGATGACCCTGGGACCTAAGGACCTGGGTTCAGGCTGTGGCTCACAGGGACGAGCTTTCTGAACCACCTGACTTTCAGGGGAACTTGGCTGAATCTATAAATTACAGGGACAATAATGCTATTTCTTATACTTACATTACTGCTATCAGCATCCAAAGCAATCGCATATGTGAAAAGACTCTATTAAGTATAAAACCATACAAATTCTGTGAACACAGCACGGGGAGGGCTCAGAGCAGTGGCTGTGAATGCTGGCTTTAGAGTCAGACTGTCTCAGTTCACACCCTGCCTCTACCTCGCGGCCAATCACCGTCTTTGCTCTGCCTCAGTGTCCACACTGGCAAAACTAGGACAATAGGACCTATCTCGTTAAATTGTTGACAGGATTAAATGAGCTAATACATGGGAAGCACTTAGAGCCGTGGTTCTCAACCTTCCTAATGCCGCGACCCTTTAATACAGTTCCTCATGTTGTGGTGACCCCCCGTTTCACTGTTACAAATTGAACATAATTAAAGCATAGTGATTAATCACAAAAACAATATGTCATTATATATGTGTTTTCTGATGGTCTTAGGCGACCCCTGTGAAAGGGTCATTCGACCCCCAGAGGGGTCGCGACCCACAGGTTGAGAACTGCTGACTTGGAACATTCCTGGTACATGGTCATGCTCAATAGATGTCAGCTGCTCCATAACAATAATAATTATTATTTTGGAAATTACTAAGCCAGTCACAGCCCGCTGCCTGCCTGACCACTTCAGGGAGGCCGGCTATTTGCCTCACCCGTTGCCCTGCAGCCCGGGCCTCTCGGTGCCAATCCTCCACCAGGGCCACCGCCTCCTCGCCGCTCTCAGGGTGGCGCGCCTGCACCCAGGCCTGGACCTCCCCGGGTAAGATGGTCAGGAACTGCTCCAGCACCAGCAGCTCCAGGATCTGCTCCTTGAGGCGGACCTCTGGCCTCAGCCAGCGACAGCAGAGCGCCCAGAGCTGGCTGAAGGCCTCGTGCGGTCCCGACGCGTCCCTGTACTGGAACTGCCTGAAGCGCTGGCGGGAGGCCTCGGGGCCAGGGCCAGGCTCATGGTCCTTCTCCTGAGGCCTGGACTCTGATCTCCACGCGTCCTCCTCCAGTTTCACAATCAGGAGTTCTTCAAGCTCTGGTCGGGGAGACGCCTGGGCCTGGGCCTCCAGGGCTACAGCCATGCTCTGTCCTGGACGCCTCACTTCAGCTGGGCTGTCCTCATCCGACGTCTTCCTGCATCTACGGTGTGTCCTTCACGGGGCTCCTGGGAGAGGAAATGCTTCCCAAGGCTCTGAAGGCAGAAAGATAAAGGACAGTGAGCAGAGGACCCAGGAGCCTCACCGTCCCCCTTCCTCACACCCACCACTGCCACTGGATGGGTGGAGTGCCGAGCGATGCCCCTGTGCCATAGGCAGGAAGCTGGACCACAATCTGGCACCAGCAGCCAGCAGCCAGCACAACAAGGGAAGACAGCACAGTGTTAAACCCTCTGGGACACGCCAAACGCCTTAGCCTGGCGTCAGAGCCTCTGTGATCTGGTCCCGGCATAGCCTTCCCCCTCTACACGTCCAAAGTCAGACCTTCCCTCGCGCTGGGAGAAACATCACCCCCTCCGGAAGGCCTTTCTCCCGGGCCTTCAAGCTTTAGTCTTCCCCTAAAGGTGCTCCCCTTGCAAAGTCCCTCTCTCACTCTGTTCTTGTTTGTCACTTCTCACCATCTTGTGACTCCCAACACTGCAGCCGGGACCTGTCTCAAGACCCCCAAATCCAACCACCTGTAAGACATTTCCACTTGGCTGTCTCTTAGGCACCTCAAACTCAACAGGTCAAAAACTGAACTCATCATTTTCTCCTGCAAGCCTGTCTCTCTTCTGGAGCTCTCCATCCAAAAAGGCACCAGCCCTAGCTGGTTTGGCTCAGTGGATAGAGCAGCAGCCCATAGACTGAAGGGTCCCAGGTTCAATTCTGGTCAAGGGCACATACCTCAGTTGTAGGCTCAACCCCCAATCCTGGTCGGGGCGCATGCAGAAGGCAACTGATTGATGTGTCTCTCTCACGTCAATGTTCTTCTCTCTCTGTCTCTCCCCCTCTCTTCCCTAAAAATCAAGGGGAAATACCCTCTGCTGAGGATTAACAACAAAAAGACATGACTTCCATCGACTAACCTATACCAGGAACCTGATCATCACCTTTCTCCAAGATCCCCCACATCCAACTCATCACCAGACTGTGTCCACTTGGTCTTCTAACCGTCTACATCCCCAAGGCCACCACCTTGGTCCAGAGAAATCATCACATTTATCACCTGATCAGCACTTTATCTCATGTCCCTGCCTTCACTCCTCTCACCCTTGACCCATTCTTTGCACAACCAGATAGATCAAACTCTGACCATGTCGCTTCCCTCCTAAACACCCTGCAGTGACCTCTCATTTCCCTCAGGATCAAATACAAACCTCCTTTCCTCACCGTGCTCCCACCAGTCATGGTGGCTCCAGCTTGCAGCTCCGACATCGTGCTGCCCTCTGCACCCTCCCACGTGCCGGGGTCTCCTTTGGGAACAGCCTCTTCCCTTTCCTCACCTACTGAGGGCTCAGCTTAAATTGTCCTTTCCCAAGATTCAGTCCTCAGCCGCAAGCTTCCGCGCCACCTCACTTCCTGTATCGTGGTTGCAGATCAGACCTCCTAATTATCTACCCACTAGATCACAGGCTTCCAGAGGGACCCATCACAGCTCAGCACACACAGGAAGCACTCCACACACAGTGAAATAATAGTCAACTAATGATGGGGATGTGCCATGAAGCAAGGATTGCGTTAAGCCCTTCCTGCACAAACTAGATAAAGAAGGAATGGCCTTCCTCGGGCCAGAAGGAATTCTCTTCTCTTTAGTCCATCACTGTGACCCTTGCCACTGTCTAGGTTGTATCAGAGGGGCGAGTGTACATGTGTGTCCCCAGAGAGATTACAGCCACACCGGCGGCAGGGAATACAGCTTAGTTCTCTTTTCTGTCACACTCTAACTCCCCCACACCCACAAGAAGCAGGATGCACTAGACACAGGAGGCGCTCAGCAAACGCTTTCTGAGTGAACGTCTGAGCTGCTGCTTCTACACAATGAAGCTCTGACCACACTCAGGCTGGGTTATCTGGGAAAATGAGCCCTTTGGGTCGTTCCCTACAATCTAGATGACATAAAAAATGCCACTCAGAGGAGGCTACCAGTTGCTTCCACGTGGGAACGACATGGCTGAATTGAGACTGGAGGGAGGGTGGCATTTCGATTTTAGGTCGTCTGACTGGACTGTCTAGAAATAGGCAAGGTGTGCCCTACAGACCGCCACATAGTTAGGGAGAGGCTAGGAGCACAACTTCCTGCTCGCCCTTCAGCTATCAGCTCACTGTCACCTTCCCTGTTAAGACTTCCCTGACATGGTATCATGCCCTGCCCCCATCCCTGCTCTCCAAGAATCGCCTCCCCACTCTGTGTTCCCCAAGCAATTGGCACAAACCTCTAATTTCTGTTATCCTGCGTTATTGTAGTTACTGCTCGTGGATCTGACAGCTCCCCATTCCGTTGCATTACTGGGGCCAGTGCTGAATCTTACTCATTTCTGTATCCACAGTGCCCAACCCAGTGTCTTCCAATGGCCCAACCCAGCAGGGCCACTGGAGTTTTGTTGACTTTTATTAAAACAGTTAAGCTGGAACATTAAAAACCTAATGGGCTATGGAAGATCCATAATTTATAGCACGCTATAGAATCAACCTTTCATGATTTTTTTAAAACCACAGCTCTAATCATGCACTAGTCCAAACACATTTGTGTCTCTCTCTCAAACGAGGACTGACTCACCAGTCATCTACAGAATCCCACGATGTCCCCTGCACTGTACTGGGAGCTAGAGAACCGACAGGAACTAGGATGAACAATCTCTACCCTCACAGAAGTTAGTCTGCTAAGAGACAATCACTGAGCAAAGTGTGTGCTCCTGCACAGAAGGAACACTACAACAAACAGGCAGTTAGCTGCCCCCAGAGTCTCAGGGAACAGGTATTTTCTTCTGGGAAGACTTGCAAGTTGCTGCTCTCTGACATACAAATAGCAGCCTCTCCAGAGGGAGGTCAACACAGCCAGCCAACAGCCGAGTGACTTCACACAGAGACGACAGGAAAGACATGGACAAGGGCACCCCTCAGCCCTGAGACCACCAGGCACCCCTAGGTCCTCTCTCGGATCAGCGACCTCAGAGTGTGCCCATGGTGCCAGGCCAGGGCTGAGTGCTCGACATTCATCATCTCACCGAACTTTCCAGGCAAGCCAGCGAAGTGCCATTAGTGCTGAGCTGCCGGACCCTGATCTGTAACGTACACGTATGAAACTCCATACAAACAAGGAAGGACAGACATGATTTAAACAGTGCACCAGTTCCACCCACTATGTGTCTGCTCCAGAGAGAGCATGTGGTGACGACACCCGGGACTCTGCTGGTCCCGGGTTGGTCTGTTCCCTCGGGCCCCTCTCCCACTGAGTGTGAGCAGTGTCTTGCTTCAGCATGGTCCCTAGGCACAGGCCAACTCTTCCACCTCGTGTTCAGGAAAACCCAGCTGTGCCGGGCAGCTTATGAGAGAGAGCGTGTTGGTTTCTAACGGCTCCTTGCCGGAGAGCTGACTGTGGTTTTGGCTAAATATGATTATCACTTTCCATGCTGCCTGCAGAATACCATGATCCTGTGAGGTATAACTCCACTATATCTTCAGTCTATACACAGGGAGGGAACTGAGTTTCTCTAAAAAAGATGCACTTAAGGTTACACAACTAGCAAGTGGTAGAGTTGGACTCTAAGCCAGTGATGGCGAACCTATGATACCCGTGTCAGAGGTGACACGAACTCATTTTTTGGGTTGATTTTTCTTTGTTAAATGGCATTTAAATATATAAAATAAATATCAAAAATATGTCTTTGTTTTACTATGGTTTCAAATATCAAAAAATGTCTATGTGACATGGCACCAGAGTTAAGTTAGGGTTTTTCAAAATGCTGACACGCCGAGCTCAAAAGGTTCGCCATCACTGCTCTAAGCCCAGGTTCGTTTCCTCCAGTCATTTCTTTAGCCACAGCACACAGCCTGCTCTAGGTCTGCCAGTCGTCCCAAGTCCTGAGAAGATGGTATGGAGGAGAGTGGGAGGAACGCTGAGGCAGGAGTGAGCCAATCGGGGTGCTGGTTCCACTCCTGCCATTTACCAGCCGTGGGACGTGGGACAGGTCAAGTGGCTTCTGCGGCCTCTCGGTTGCAGCTTACAGCCTGACCCTCCTCAGTTCCGCCAGGTTCCCCCGTTCGTACGAGGGGAGGAGAGCAAAGGACAAAGAGACTAAAACCAGTAGCCACAAATGTAAGTGGCGAGAGGCCTGGCAGCGTCAATGAGAATGTGAGTGGAGCGGGGACTGTGGCCACTACAGAGGACCAACGGGCCATGGCCCAGTGTCCACAGGCCTTCTGATTTTTCTAAGAGAAGTCAGGATTCTGGATTTTTAAATGTTGGCCACCTACTCACAATTGTTTCAAACACCCGGAGGGTTAAGTACAGCGTGAGGACAGGCTTCATTCAGCATGGGCTGTCACTTGGCCACCTTTTAGCTGAGTGATCTCAAAGGTTCCTTCCAATCTCCTGGAAAACCTACAAAGAGTACAGATTCCCCTAAGTAATGAGGGGTAGGTGCTGGCTGCTGTCGAAATCAAGATCCCTCTACAAACCCAGGGGCGCGGGGAGGCATCCTGGCTCCTGGGGCAGTGAGTATGGATGTGGACATGAAGAACCTACCCAGAAAGCAGTGGGATGGAAAAGATCGGCCCCAGTCCCCTGGGAAAGCCAAGGCTGGTCTGTGACCTCCAAAGAGAAAAAAAACTGGGAGTTCCCGAAAGCTTTCTAGCTCATTTGGCTGATGGTCCAAGCTATTGCTTAAGCAGCCTGACCTTACACTGCAGGGCATAAAGCAGAGAAAGCAGGCAGATAGGATTCATTTAAAGCACCGAAGTCATTCAACTGTGTTAAGGACTCTGAATCCCATGTGAATACGCGCTGTGGCCAATTAGCTATGTCTGCCAGGCACAGGAAGGGGAATCCGGGGCCTGGCTTAAACCCCCCGTAGGCCCTGAATCAGCTTCCAGCAAAAACAGCCATAAGAGGAAGAAGACTAAAACTCACGCCCAGGAAATCCACCGGAAGTAGCACCTTTCAGCCCGAGATAGCAAAGCTCACCCTGGATGGTCTTGATTCGCACATTCACCAAGTATTTATTAGGCAGTGGGAAACAGGGGTGACTCAGAAACTGTTCCTGTCCTGAAGATGCTTACAGTCTAGTGGAAGAGAGAAAAGGAATCACAGATGATGATGATGATCAAATGTGGAAAGTGCAGTAAAGAGTTGGGGTGGGGGGCACGACTTTAACTGCTTGGCGGGGCATGACTTTAACTGCTTAAGGCAATTGAACAAAGTAACATCTGAGTTGGTTCCTGAAGAAAGAATCGTTCCCTTGGCAGAGAAAGGGGAGGGAGTGTGTCAGAGAGAACAGCATGTACAAAGGTGGGAAACCAAACGGCCTCCCCCCCAAAATGGGAAAAGCTTGGTAGCCCTGGAGTGTGGGGCACAAAAAGACTAGGCTGCAAAGTCATTTAGGAAGGAAACTGAGTATCGGGCTGCGATGTTCGGACTTTATTATATCCGTGATGAGTGCCAATGGAGGCTTTTAAAGCAGAAGGCATAATCAGATTTGGGGGTTAAACAGGTCACATTGCGTTTGTCCAGGCTGAGAGGTGAAAGATGGAGGCTTCGGCCAAAACCCGACAAGGAAAGGGCAGGTTCCAGACACATGAAGGAAACGGAAGGATCTGAGGATCCCTGGAGTGGAAGAAAGCAAGAGAACCAGGAGGGCGCCTGGGAGCCTGGAGGACGATGCCATTCGCGTCCACCGGGCATGAGAAGTGCCGTGTGGGACAGAACACAATAGCTGGGCCCGCCCACCGGGCTCCAGAAGTCACAACCATGAGACAAAGTGTCAGGGCAGGTAGGGGCTGGTACGTTATTTTTAAGGTTGGGCGGCAAGCTCAGGCCCTCTTATCTCCACTTCTTGCCTGGGCCCCCGACCCCCCTCTCCTGCCCTCTGTGGTCTCCTGGCCCCTCTAGGCTCTTCCACCTCCAGAACCTCTCTCGGTGTCCTCACCCACAGCCCTGAGCCCGTCCTCTCTCCCAGAGCCCTCTGGTTCCCTCCTCATCCCCAACCCCTCGATGACCCTTCCCACCTCCGGACCGCCCGCTTCATCCTCTGACCGCCCCTCACCCCACCACCCACACATAAAAGCTTCTTTCTCCGCTCACACCGGCCCCGGCCCCTGTGACACCATCCTCCTAAGTCTCCAGCCCAGAGCCTAAGTCTCCGATGCCCCCGCCCCGCCACCCGGACTCACCCACCAAGACACCCACTTCACAACGGGGCGGAAGTGCTCCAGGGTTCGCGCAGGGAATGCTGGGACGCGGAGTCCAACCGGCGCCACCCCGGGAATGGAGCGTCTGCGACTACAACTCCCAGAAGAAACCGCGCGAAAGCCGGTAGACGGCCTCTTCCGTTTACTGCCCTGAAGATGCCGTCAGCCAATAGATGTGTCACCTTCTCCCGGTCCCCGGCACCGGAACAAATCAGAATAGGTTCTAAGGGTGAGGGCGGGACCTGCTGCAATCCCGATCCTTTCCACAGGCTCGGAAACGGCACCGCCCAGTAGGCGGGGACTCAAGCTGAAGGGGCGGGGCCTGTTTAAGGGCGAAGCGAGAGCCAGAGGCCCAGAGAGATCAAAGCAGAAAAATAAGGAGGGTGTGGCTAGAGATGACCAGGCTGGTGGGCAGAAGAGAGTTGGACAATTGTAGGTGTAATTTACAGCTCACCGTTAAAATGCGTGACTTTGAATTAATTGTGAATCTCGCTTTATTCAAACCCATAAAACCAGGATAATAATAGCATCTGAGTCTACAAGTTTTTGTGAGGTTTCAACGAATAATACGCTCAAAACGATTCATTCAGGGTCTGGATTCTAAAAATACACAGCGAATGTCACCTATTGTTATGTAAATCCGTTAGTGTAGAGCTTGGCAGGTGTGAAGATCAAATTAGATAATTCAGGCAGAGCATGGACGCTGGCGTCAAGCTACTTGTGTCTGAAACTTCCTATTTTCAAATGCAGGATGGAGGCCTTGCCACTCACTACTTGTGAAACGTTGAGCAAATTGTTTCACCTCTTCATGCTTCAGTTTCCTCATCTGTAAAATGGGAATTAGAATAATGGCATCTACCTGATAGGGTTTGTGAGAAATAAGCGGAGAACAATTTGTAAAGAGCCTGGCACATGGCTAGCAGAAGGAGTTTAATAATTATATTAGCTATTCTTATTTTTACTAATGGTTATGAGAAGTTGGGGGAATTGACAGTACCTAGCATATGGCCAAGTGCTCAATACATGTTAAAATTTGGGGAATTCTGTATCTTAGTTTTAAAGACATAGTTCAAAATCCATCTCCTCTATAAAACGTGTTCCAACTGATTGCTAGTACTCACGTGGTTTTACACGGCGAAAGAAGTAGCAACCTATCAGCACTCCTTGTCACTGAAGTCTTCACAGCCCTGTGAGGTGGGTATTATTACCCCATTTACAAGGAGGAAATGGGGGCTTGAACCTACTCAAGATCATACAGCCAGTCAATGCCAGGCATGGGATTTGAACTGGGGCGTGTGACTCTAACGGTTCCTTCTCAGCCCCACACTGCATCCGGGAAAGATGGAGGGATGGAGTGAGTGGGGGAGAGACAGGTCTTCAGTGTGGGGTGCTGGGAGAGCTGGAGCCATTTGAGGGAGTGTCCAGACCTGAAGTTGGAAAGGCAGCTTGGGAGGGTCAGGTCAGGACATTCATTTCAGGATCGTGTATCCTGCAGAGGAATGGAGGTGAGAAGACGCAGAGCGAAAGACACCACTGGACCACTAGAGGGCACCCCTCACCCTAAATCCGCCCAGAGCAGT